ATGAACATAACAAATGATGTGAAAACAAGTGCTGAACAGAGAATACTGTCAGCTGCTAATACATGCCTTCCCCCACCACAAGAATATTGTAGAAAAATGTCTGCAAAGAATGTCAAACTTGCTTTGTGCACAAAAAGCTAAAGCATCTACAATATTTTACCTTTACAAATTGTTACAATGTCAAGGAGGCTACAGGCGTAGGCAACAGCATCCAGAAGTTGTGTCAACAAAATGTAAAATTGGGACTTCATTAACTTCAAGACTAAAATTTTAAAAGATCCAACATATTTTTATAACATAACTGCTGAGCTAAAAGAAGACACACAGAGAGTCAGAACTCAGAGAAAATGAAGGTCAAAAAAGGTGCAAGAAAGTGCTCAGGTACCAAAAAACTTAAGAAACCACTGTTAAAATATTCTCTGACCATCTTCAAAGTGAAAACTGTTTTGAATTGCTGAAACATTCCTCACAGCAAAAAGCTGATGTTATCCCCTATTCTTCTATAAATTTGGAGAAAAGCTGCTGTCTACTACAAAGGTAAGCAGGACATGGCCAAAGTTGCACAGATGTCCTGCAAAACTAACTTATTTCTAGTCATCCTATAGTTGCTAGACAATTTTGTACAAGACATTTTGAAGCATGCCACCCACAATATCCTCAAGGCTGGAGGAGTGAGGTTAGATATTGAATGACTTTATAGTTAAGTGCTATGCAGCTTTTCAAGGATATGTTGAGGTTGTAAGTGAAAATAATGGAGACTAAATATTTGTTTTGATAGGCATTTTATTAATCAATAACAATTCTGCAAATTTTTTCTTCACTATATATATTTTCAATCTTTGTCAAAAAATGATATTCCCAAAAGAACAGCTACATTAGAAGTGCTCAATACAATTTTCATGAAACGAAAATGTAGAGCAAGTTAAGATATAGAATATCCAAAACACTGATCTTCCTGCAATCACAGTTTCTACCAAGATGGCTTCACCAGACGACAATTCAGTGTTTCATTTTAAAGAAACCTATTTATAACTGTACTTGCACTACCAGAAAATGTGGTTGCAGAATGATCAGTGTTTCAGATAGTATATATACTTCAATTAGAACATTGAACCCTTTTCAGCTTATGACAAACTCTGCAAAATTAATTCAGAAATTTGACTACAAAATACAGCATGAATTGAAAAATTTTCAAGATAAAAAAAAAAGAAAAGAAAAAGAAAATGAGGATCAATTTAAAAATACACTATGATCACTCTTAAAAAAACAGTTTATATTAATCCAAAACTTCCAAAAACATTTTAAATATGAAATCACAAAATCATTTAAAAAATCAAAAATAAATTATTTTTATAAAGTTTTCTAATACTAAAAAATAAAAAAAAATTGGCACTTGGATAAAAGTGGATAATAAACTGAATATACAAAATAAGAGAGAAAGTTATAACTGTCTCTGGTCATGGTTGATAAAAGTTGTAGCAGCTTTTGCTGCTACTTTCTAAGTATGTAAGATAATTATAGGACACTGGTTGTGTAATTGTCCAGTCATCTTTCAACCATTGTGGCATGCCAGTATTGAATTCTTTTTGACAAGTTATGTGGAACAAAGTGTAGAAGGCAGATTCATGCCTGTCCAAGTAATGTGAATGTAAGCAGTGTGAAATATTTCAAGTTCAATTTATAGATATTTTGTTGTTACTGAAAATTTACTTAAGTCATGCTAAATACCCCAATATATTATAATAAATAGTTGAAGCTTTAGGATTTTCACTCAGTCAAGTGACACACTTCGGTAACCATGTCTCTTATGATGAGGCAGATTTCTCACAGTAGGCCCGCGCCAACCAAGTCTATAGGACCTAGTCTGTCCTGCTAATCAACCCATAGGTGGTGGGAGAAGAGATGGTATCATACCTTCCCTAAGTAATGAACCTGGTTCCCCCAATTTCTCATTCCAAGCTGTTATCCATTACATGGCACTTAATCAAAAAGAAAATATTAAGTCTTTGAAAAAGAAAATATTAAGTCTGAAAAAGAAAATATTAAGTCTTTGAAAAAATAATCAAATCAAGCCTCCATTTATTTGTTCTGCTGAGGAATGCAGAAAGTGGCAATTTTTGTTTTTAATTGGATTCTGCTTATTGCTTTTCTTTGATATTTTGTTTCTCAACTCAATCAAAAAGGAAAAGACCTTAAAGTTATTAAATGTGAGACCAAGCAAAAAAAACAAAACAAACAATCATCTTGACATTTTATATTTGTTAGTTTCAGTTTTGTCCTGAACAATGCCAGTGTCAGCTTTTAACCTTGTTAGTGTAATTCTCAGCCAACTAAGGCATTTCCTCTGGTTTTAAGCAGCAATAAAAATAAAAGAAATATCATAGAAATTCATTTTTCATGGATAATGAAATATTTTAATCCAAAACTGCATTTCAATAACAAAAAAATCTGAATAGTAGAGGCATATTTGCCATGTCAAAGAAAAGAAATAACAATATTAGCAATTTAACAGACATCAAAATTTAGAAGTTTCCTTAAAAAAAATTAAATTAATAAAAAGGCAACTGCGTATTTAGAAGTAATAAATAGATCATTAGAAAAGAAAAAAAAATCAGAAAAATTTATATAATCTGAAAGAAATTTTTAGTCCCCAGTTTATGCTTGTGCATTAAATATGCAAATTAAGTCTTGTATGAAAATTCAGAGGCAACAATTGACTAGTTGACCCCATTATCACTTTTCCAATGAAATCGAAATATGCCAGTCGCACATCACATAAAATTGGTGGACACACATTTTCAATTTAATGCAACAACTGGAGGGGGGGCAGATTATCAAACTGAGCAAGAAAACTGGAATTAACATCCATGTTCAATCCTTAAGTGAAAAATTAGAAAGAAAAATCAAAGCTAATATAATAGCTGTGGATAAATCTTAAGATTTAGAATCTCAAATCTAATCTATTTGGGTCATCAGCATTGAAAGAGTCACAACTTTTATGAGAGTTTTTGGGTTATCTTCCACCACACAAGTTATTTTTTTATGCCATAATCTCTGGTATGATTGTCCAATTAGTACGTGGAGAGAAGATATAGAGTTCAAGATAACAGAGACTTCATCAAATGCTGATCAGAGTTCCCTTTTGTGTGAGAAATTCAGTAACCAACAAAACGAATGTAAATGGGTATTTAGAGCAAGCCAGAAGACAATGTTTTATCATAAGCCATGGCACTTTGTGTCAAAGATCTGAAGTGATGTCAAATCTTTGACATTTCTGGGAGATAAGGTAGAGGTTGAGATTTTCAATAATTATTTAACTTTAATGTCATTTCTTCATTTTTGATTCACCAGTTGGACATGAACCATTTAATAAATACATTGAATACACAACATACATTGATTACACCCTTTGTGTGTGTGTGTGTGTGTGTGTGTGTACACATGCACACAGAAGGTCTGTAAATAAATTAACGGTGTTATTTTAAATAAAAAATAGAAAAGCAAAAAAAAAAAAAACATTTTTATTATTAACAAATCAAACAATAAGGAAAAACAGTAAACCACCTACAGAAGCCAAATTGGCAAGCAACACTCAGTAAATGGCTTGATGGGGTTGTCATCAGCAACAGTTTATGGACCTTTATTTACTAATGTTGTACCACTGCTTTTTGCACTTTCTAGAACTTTGCAAATAGTCATCTTTCAACAGGATGGTGCATCTGAACATTACTCATATGTCATCAGAGTTTTTCAATGGCTCGAGAGTGCAAGACTGGTTTGGGAAGCAAGGTTGCCTGATATCATACCTCTGGAATTTTTTTTATTATTTGGAGCTATAGTAAGAATTCTGTTTTTGACAGAAAACCAGAAACATTTTGAAGAGACTGATTCATTAACACCCAAAATATATATCAAAATTTTATGATGGATTGCAAATTTGCATTGAGAATGGTGGTTCATTTGTTGAGAAATATTAATTTTATTTATTGCTTGATTTGTTAACAAAAATGTTTTTCCTTTTCAAACGTGATAGTTATACATAAAATACATACTACATTTAGCAATAGAGTGTGGCATGTGAGGATGACTTAAATTCTTAAGAGAAAATGAAAATAAATTCAGTCCTCAAAGAAAAGAATATCAACTGAGAATTTTGCCAAAAAACAAAATTAATTTTTGGTTCATTTTCAGTTCCACATTGGAGAATAAAATTTCAAAGAAAATAGATGATTAAATATAGGGGAAAAATTCTGAATATTTCTTACAAATTGTTTCTGCCTTCAGCAGAACTGAATATGACGAAAATATTTTGTGGGCGTGGAGAACAAAAAAAAAAAAAGAATTTTTTTGAGGATTTGTTTAAGTCTTATGACAAAAAAAAAAAAACCTCAACCCTAAGGACGAAAAAAAAACTCTCATAAATTGAATCAGTTGTTTTTCAGGCAAAGTTTTGAGATTTTAAATTGATTTGTTCCAATGAATGAATAATAATGATTATGGATGAAGATAAAAAAAAAAAAACACACACAAAATGCATAAATTTTGTGGAATGACAAAAAAAAAAAAAAAAAAAAACAAAAAAGTACTGCACTTCGATAAAATGCAGTCCACTTAAAAACAAAGAAAAAACTTTTGTCTTTTTATGGTCAATGTATTGATTATGCCACAAGATGAAAGAATTGCGTATTGCATTAAGTCTTTCTGAGATAAAAAAAAAAAACTAACAGGAAAATAACTTTAAAGACCCATTTTCAAATTTTCTCAAATGAAGTATGTGAGATGAAGCAAAACTCACAAATTGATTTTTCATATGTGCAATTCTCACCTCTTAATTATTTGGGTTTTTTTTTTTATCTCAAAATTTCATTGAGGTTTTAATTTTTGTATTTGTTTTCTATAATCCCCAAAAGACTAATGCAGTCAAAAATAAAACAAAAATGATTTCAGCAATATGACACAATCATTGTACTGACCCCTTTCCCTTTCCCTAACCCAAGCAATTATGTTGTATGTGAATCCCCACTAAGTTGAAGGTTTTCAAAGTGAAGAGACAAGTCCTGTTCAGAGGAGAAAGTTGAGTGTAAAGGGCTGTTGGCCGGACTTTGGGGAGTGTTATTTGGAGCAGGAGGGGACATAACAGTGTCATCACAGATAGCAGAATCAAGTCGAGCCAGTGGTGGGGTTGATATTTCACCACCTAAGGGACCAGGCCGCCCCAATGACGATTGGTTAAACTTAATCCCAGCAATACCTTTCTTCTCTGGAATATTAACAAAATCTCTTTTGATTTGGCGTCTCTTCATAGGATTATCTTGTCGGTATTGAATTTTCTTCTCAAAATCTATTGTGTAGAGGTAGCCCGCAATGAGCAAATCAAAGCTTGTTTCGTTGTTCTTGTATCTCTGCTCCATTTCTTGACTGGTTCTGTCATCGTACTGCCACCAACCATTTCGACCCTCATAGAACCACTGGTAGTTTTTGTCAAATGTTACCGTTTTCTCAAGGTCATCTTCATTCAACAATGGTGGATTGAAGAAGCAGCTGTCTGGGATTTCCTTTCGGCAGAGAGCGCATCGTTGATTCTGTTTGGCAGAGCCTTTCATGCACAGGAAACAAAAAATGTGTTTGCAAGGGAGCTGAACAGGATATTCACAAGGATGCAGGCAAATGGCACATTCAAATTTCTCAGCAGATTCAACAGGAAAAACATCTGCAAAAAGAATTTGAAATGATAACTGCTAGTCATATACAAAATCTTTGTTAATCTACACACTGACAAAGCATTTGGAAACCAATATTTTTGCCACACTTTTACAAAACTGCTGACAATATATACAAACAAGTTATAAAAATAAAAAGTAAGCTTTAAAAATTAAAATATTTTTGGTGTAGCGCTAAAACTCAGATATCTAATGTCAAGGTAACCGAGTTATTTAAAGTCTATATAATATGAAAAGGGGGGAGAAGAATAAAATAAGAAATTTGGAATGCAAATATTTTGCATGAATTTAATAATAATAAAAAAATAATAATAAAAAATAAAAAAAAAACATTTTGATAATCATTTTTTCTTACTGAATTTTTTTTTTTTTTTATATCCAAAGATTAAGAGTGCCATTTTGAAAACCCATTTTCTTCTGGAAATTTAATTTTGATAGCAAGCAATATATGCTGAGAAAGCAATATCATAACTTAAAAAAAAATATTTTATTTATCTTCAAACTGAAAATACAAATAAAATCATGGCAGCAACAACAGCATTCAAAACATGGAATGATAATTTTTGTCTTATAAGTCTGTATCTATTTTGAATCAGAAGCAAAAAAAGTTACAAACAAAAAATAAATGCAGTGTTAGAATTATATTACTGATTAATCAGCTTAACACTATGTGTAACATTATAAATTTATTAGTAAGAATATAGGAATATTGAAAAGCCGTAATTAGGAGCAAGACAATGAAGCCAGGCATGGCTGATCATGTATGTAGGGAAAAAATGTAGTCAACAGTCTCTGCAGAATAAAGTAAATATATTAGACAGAGAAGACAAAGAAGGAATCAGTACATGTACTAGCCTATGAGGGTTTCCTCAGTAGGACTAGCACAGAAATAAATACAATATGGGAACTGTTAATAAATAAAAAATGACAGCAAAGCAGCAATAAGAATGGTGAATGCAGTCAAGTGGAGCAATTAGTGTCAGTTCAAGCAGATTAGGTTCAAAGTTCTAGAATTATGATTGTCCCATAGGACAATAACCTAGTGGATTAAAGCATTGGTTTGTGAATTTGGTCACATAAGTTTTATCCTTGGGCCAGGTTGTGCAGACAGGAAAACAGGGCAAGCCATAAGTAAATAAGAACAAGACAAGATATCCCTAATGCTAGACATGGACCATAGGAACAAAAACAATCTGCCCCTACAGTTCAACTAAAAGAGGGTTCAGATCAAAATTCCCTGGAGGTTTCCTAAATCAACAAGTGCCTGAAGAAGGCCAAAGGGCACAATAACTGAAAAGTTGTAGTTAACAAAGATGAGAACAGATGTAAATAATGATTCAGACAGAAATTGATTAATACTATTTGCAATTCAACACACACTGATCTCACAAAATTCTTTAATGGATATTTTGTCTTAAGAAAACAAAAATAAAACATCACTCAAAAAGTGGACTTTTCAGCAACAATATTAAAAGACATTATCTGAACCCAAAAGACAATGCATTTCAAGAGTAATATGTTTAGCCAATTTTGAAGAGGTCCAGCCAAATTAATCATTAAAAAGAGATCCTAATCATCATGTTGCAGAATGTAACAAAACCATGTGAATGAAAAATTTCATAAATAAGGATTGCATTAAAAATTTTCTGCATTTCTAACTATACAAATTATTGATGAAATTAGAATAATTTACATTTTCCTATCTCAATCTTTTGCAAATCAAGAAAGTATTTTTTTAAATATTAGTTACTACAAAAATTTATGTATTCAATAATCTAAAGAGAATGTTTGTAATATGATTGAATCCAAATGTTTAAAAAAATAAAAAAATTGCAGCAAACTGTCAGTGATAATTTATGACTACATAATAAAATTGAACTTGATCCCTCGAAAAAGAAGGTCAGTAATTACCATGCAAAATCATCTGTCAACTCATCCTGAGTCATAGGCTGTCATTTTTTGCAAGCCAAACAAAATGAATTCACTTTTGAAATGACATCAGAACAATCAAAGCAAAAACATTTCAAACTTGTTTTAACTGGCCAGTCATTTTTTATATTTACATCTCAGTCATGTCAGCATAAAGTTGACAAAAATTTGACAGAGAAATTGGAAGAGAGAAGTAAGCCTTTAGTTTATTATAAGGATTTTTGTTATATATGAGATGGCAGGGAGATTGTCCTACTGAAATGGACAAGAGCCTTCTAAATAAAATTAATCTCCCCTTTAAGAGGATAAATGAAACTGAATTTTAAGGATTTTTGTGAGAACCAACTGATTTCCAATATCAGAGTTAATTAAACACAACAAATATAAATTTCATAATCTTTTCTCTAAAAGGTGCATATGTACAGACATTTCATATATTAGTATAAACATTATTAGTAATGAGTACACGTGTTGCTATCTGGGATGTTAAACAGTGAAATTAAGGTCAACCAAGCCAGAAATCAAGAAGTACTAACAAAAATATGCCTCCTGACAGAAACGGAATTTACATTCTCTTTTCCATCAAAGTAAACACTCCTTCAGCTAAAGTAGGGCACACTTAAGCTAGAAGAGTGTTTCCCTGATGGAAAAAAAATACAGGTTCAATTCATGCCAGGAGGCATTTTTTTTTTTTTTTGTTAGTATGAAGTTTGATTTCTAGGTTGGTTGACATTAATTTCACTGTTTATAACAGATGCCAACTAACATATGCACCCACTAAAAATAACATTTTAATATATATATATATATATATATATATATATATATATATATATATTGATCTATATATATCTCACACAAACATTTGAACATATCAAGACGTATTTTTTTTATCTACTATTTACCTTTGGGTGAGTCAGTTCTTTAAAACTCATTTGGCTTTAAAGAACTGACTTACACACCTCTTTTCAAATGTAAACTTAAAACACAATGTCAGATTGACAGCTGAGATAATTGTACATTTTCCTATTGTTACTAGTAGTCAGTTTTCAAGACCTGGCAAAAGCCAGTGCTTCAGATGCTGATTTTGAAGACATACAGACAACAAAAAATATTAATCATTTTTATTTTTATTTTTTTTTTTTTCAGAAAAATTTAGAAATTTATAGATCGATTATCTTCATATGAAGATAATAAATAACTACTCAAGATAGAATTTGGGCAGTCTCTCTCTGGCATATCTCATTTGGACCAGGGGTAATGGAGCCACATACATGTACACACATGCCAAGAGTAATTGAAGTCAGCAATTGAATAATGTAATATTAAATGTGAAAGATTCAATTCTTGTGTTGTTTATTAGCCCACATGTGATATCATTTAACTGGCACACCCATTTCATTACACAAATTGAAGGTAGATCATAATGGAGTCAATGTTGCAAGATACAAATTCCACATTTGGAAACAATGATGCTTGTGAAAAATAAGAGCTTAAATTCAAAAACATTGCAAGTGGAAATTTTGATTAAAAATAAAATAAACATGAGTAGATGGCTCTGACCAAAACTCAGTACAAACATTGATTGGAATCATTTTCAATCATTAAAAAGTTATTGGCAAGAAAATTATTAGTAATTTAATTAGTTTGAAGTGAATGAGGAAAATATTTTAAGAAGTCTGTATTAATAAATTTCTCAGGTTTTGCGTTATATCAGTTGTGATTAAAAAAAAAAAAAAGACTGTATAAATAACTGGAGAAATTTTAAACAATGGCTGGATAAGGTTACAGTGAGTATTTCTGTTCTTTAAAAAATAAACCAAGCAATCAATGCACAGAGATTTAGACAAGCAAGTTCAGTAGAGTCAAATTGACAAATAATGTGTCATTCTGCAGCTATTATATTACAAGAATGACATTACTAAAATTAAATCAGTTGAAATTTTATTATATCCTGTCTGTTCATCCAACCTGTCTTTGGGAATATTGTTTTTTCTTTCTTTCTTCAAACTTTTATGCTACTGCTATATTACAGACCAGGACTTATTTTTCTAGTATTAAACTGAATTTTTAATGAATTTATTATAGTTTACTGTCAAAGGTCAAGTGGAATGTTTTCATTAAATAAAATTAAATTTCTTTTTACAACTTGCTTAAATAAATCAACATTTCCATGATATATTTTTGGTGCTTATTACAAGGAATTAAAACAATTAGTTTTTTTTAAGAGTCACTTTATATTTTCCAATCAATTTCACCATGAATTTCCTAATAAAAAAAAAAAAAAAAAAAAAAGAACAAGAAGAATGTTTTAATAGAAAAGAAAACCAACTGATGCAACTTGCTCTACAACCTTTTCAAAGTCTTTAGATGCTATCTGGGAAAATATCAATGTTCAGTATAAAAGGTTTGTAAATGCAAAACAAAAATTTTACTGTAGTTAAACAATACAAGAAAAACCAGAAACATGTTAAACAGCCACAAATATAGAAGCTTTTTTTCCAATGAAAACAGCAAATTGGAAAGTTATATAAAAAAGTCATTTATTCTTAATGATAAAGTCATTATAAAAATAAGTTATCAGCTCATCTTAAAGTTTTACTTTCTTTTCTTAAAAAAAAAAAAAAAAAAAAAAAATAAAATCCACTTTGAAGAAGACAAAAAGTGAAGCACTTAGAGATATCAGTCAATTTTGTTTGAAGTGGAGAATATTTCCATCCACAGTAAAGAAAAAAAATATTTTCCCTTAGTTTTCTTTATCTAGCCTCATATTCTGATAATACAAAAATAAAAAAATTATTTTCTATCCTAATGAAGAAATTCACAAAGCAAAAATATTCCCAGATGCTTAAAAACATTTCCCTTACTTCTGTAAACTGAATGGGGTCAATGATCAATTGCATATGATTAATACAAATATGAAATTTGTCACACAGCTGACATTATGTTCAGCACTTAGACTCAGATATATAGCTCCATGAATTTTTCACATTAGAAAGGTGTGAATGAAATAAATTATATTCCATCTTGAATGTTGTTTTTAATTTTATTTCTAATGCAAGATTTTTCAAAGAATTTAAGAGCTTAGTTTACTTTTACTTTGTTTTCAAATTAAGTCTTATCACTAACAAATACAGAGTTATATTTCATTTTTATTAAAACAAATGTGCAATCAGAATGAGGCTCAGTAAAGAAATTTAAGGAAGATAATTCTGTATTGCGAATGTGAAAATTGGTTCAGACACTAAAACCAACAATATCCTAAATAGCCAAGAAAAATTTTTGTCAGAAAAGTTTTTAAAAAATAAAAAAATTCTTACAAAATATAATTAAGATTTTAAAATGTTATTTTCACTATATTTTAAGCAATTTTAATTTAATCCCAATTTATATTTTCATTTTTTTTGTTTCTGCTCTCTTTTTCTAAAATTAACAAACTTTTTGATATTTATGTTTGTTTATTTATGTGCTCAAATAGCTCTTGAAAACTCCAGCTCTAAGCTGAAGAATGGGCAAAGGCGGACAACTGGTGCCTCATAACCAGCTGCCTCGGGTAAATGGAGCTAGACAGTCTAGGAAGGCAGTCTATTTAAAGGGGAAGTAAAACCCTGATTTCAAATCTTCACTGCTTTGTGGTCATATCCAAACACGGAAAAGGCTATGGAAGTAAATCCAGACAGAAAATTCGGAGTGGAGCCCTAAAGGCGGTTGGCTGCCAACTTTTCAGCAACTCCTGTAGCCAAGTCATACCCCAAATCCCCTGTATTCCTTTGGATATTGCCGAGAGGGTGGCCATGTAATCTGAGCAGCGCTTGACCTCCATATACCTGCACCCTGGATAGGTCACTCTCGAGCTTTACTACCAAAGGACTGGATTTTTTTTTTTGCCTCGCTAAACAGGGTGCTACCTTTCACGACATAAACGGGTATCTACCACTATAAGCAAAAGTAAACTTTACTTCTTTTTTTTTTTTTTTTTAACAAAATCCAATTTCAATTAGTCTTCACTCTTCATGTTCACTAATTTACAAATATTTTGTTTACATTTTTCGTCAATGATGGCGAGGTCATATGTTGAGTGAACGTACCAATGTTTTTAAAATGTCTACAAACTTTACACACTGAAATTGATTTTTTCATTTCATAGTTTTAATAAAATACAGCAAAGAAGACATAAATTATTTAAAATTCGTTGTTTTGTTTTTTTATGAATTTCGTTATGATTTTATTTTTTTAAACTTGTGAGCTTCACTTAGAGAGAAAATTATTTATGTATTGTTTAAAGAAAAGTGAACGTTTTAATGCAACTAATTGAAAATAGAAAAAGAAAATTATATACAAATTATTCAATCGCAAGTACAAGTCAAAGTGTTTTTTGTTGTTTCTTATAGTGCCGGTCAGATGTCTAGGGTTTGGTTGGAATGCATAAAAAAGAAACTAAAGTAAATTTTAAGTGAATTCAATAAATCAATATTAGAAAACAATCGGCAAATATTTGTTTTAGTTATTTAACAATTCAAATATGAAAGATTTAATTTTCTAGGTTAAAAGTTCGGATAGCCTCATTTTTTTCAACAATGGAGGAAAGGAAACGTATAAAAAAAAGTGATGGTCATCAGCAGTTTCAATTCTTGCTTTGTTCCAGAAAAATGTCTGTTTATCAATTAATTTCTAATTTATATTAAATAAGGGTAAAATAAAAATGTTATTGAAACTACTTTTGTTTTACAGTACTTGTTTTGTTTTACATGTACTGTACATGAAGTGGATTTCAGTCATTAGAACATAAGCAATTTAAATTTGTTTTTCATGCTGTGACTTAAGTAAAAGTGAATTTTTTAACAGAGAAAAAAATATTTGCGACTGATAATCAATAAGAAAAAAAAAATCGAGCCAAATTTTTTTTTTTTTAAGCAATTTTGGCCTCCTCACCGTTGACGAGAAAAATGCTACCTTTTATTTCCTTAAATAGTTTTATACTTTTTTTTAGCCTAGGTTAAAAATAATGCAAATGCGGGCCAATCTGTGCCGAACAAGAAGATACGATGTCGGACAGGACCCGTATTGAGTAGGGTGTGAGAGGAGTTTGTTCATTTTGTTTGAGGCTGTTTAAGGGGGAAAATTACAGAGTAAAAAAGAAAGACAAAAGGACATTTGCAGTGAAACAGGACATTCAACTTTTTTTCTTCTTTTTTTTCTAACAAAAAAAATATTTAGAGACAATTCCGTAACGAATGACATTTTTTTCATCCTTTCATAAGTACATCAACAATTCAGACCCCAATTTTTTTTTAATTACCAACTCCTTTTGATTATTCATAATCAAATATTTCAATTGCATATAAAAATTATTTAAAAAAATAAAACATTTCAAAATTGTTTACAACTTCAAAACAAAGCAAAAAGAAAAAATCTTTGCTTTTTTCAAAAGTCGTAGAAGTAAACAAATATTTCGCGGGGGTGGAAGAAATTATTTTGACAAGCAGAAGTTAAAAAAAATAGTCTAACGACGTTACCTATGCATTACTATAAGTAGTTCTGTATAATAGCTGTCACATTTTAAAAGTGAAACCTTTCTCTAGTTTTTGACATTACCTTTTTTAGGATTATTTTTTTTACCCCAACCTTGTAAAGTAAAAAGTTGATCTCTCTGTGGTTTTTTACGTATAAATTTTCAAATTCTTAACCATTTAGGAAATCGATTTTACAATTAAAAACTTTATTTTTAATTATTTACATATAAGTAAATGTCACTTTAGAAAACAGTTTTAAAAGTTAAATTTTCTATAGGTATTTTTTATGGCACGTGTTGTCTTTTCAAAGCTTCAATAATCAGGCTTTGGTAGATTTGAAGGCACATGGTAAAAGAATGAGAAATGTGTCGACAAGAAAATGACATGAACTCAGAAAATGTTGGCCATAGTTAACTTACTAGTTAAGTAGTAAGTGGATACTAAGAGTAAAAAGAGAAAAAAAAAAAGAAAGATGTACGCTGAAAATACGATGGCGTAGTAGAAAGGAAAACAAAAAACACTCGATGATTGATTTAAATTAAAGTATTTTTAAAAATCTTCCTACCCCAACAACTTTAATAAAATAAAAAGTGCTAAATAAAGTAAAGACAGAAACTCGTCAAATATAAGTTTTTCTTATGAAACCTGAGTCACAGAATTTTGCTGCGATTAAACGTAAAAAAGTCTAAAATTTCTTTGTCACGTTTTTTCCCCCGTTATTAAAACAACTATCTAAAGTTTTTAAAAGATATTTGAACTATTTTTTATGCCTTTTTTACCATGACAACAAAACTTTAAGGTTAAAAAGGGGTTATTTTTCGTTTTCGAGTTGAACTGCAAGTAAATGATCTGACAACTATTTTTAAGTATTTTAAAAACAAATTTCCATACAATAAATCATTGACTCTTTTTTTAAACTGTTGTTGATTGTTAAACTGAACTTCGATCTATTTTCTCGAAAAATTTATATAGATAAAAATAAAATCGATTGGATTTTTTTAGACGAAACCTAATTTTAACTTATGAAATTTTGTTTATTAGAAATATTCGTCATGATTATTTACATTCTAACTAAAAAGATAAAAAAAGGGGGTGGAATTTGTGTTATTTAAGAAAAAGATCGTTTCTCTTGACTCCCAATTTAAATTGCTGTCGTCTGTGCGAGACAAAAAGTCTTTCTCTTTTATTTGTTTATTTTCTTCAGGTGGGTGGTGTTCAGAATTGTTTTGATTTATTTACCTTTATCCGTCGATCGATCTCCTCCTTGGTGTTGTTGCTCACTTGCCGGACGACAAAGCCCAGTTCGTTTGACTTCCATCGTTTCTGATTTTTCTCCTCAATTTTAAAATAAAATAGATTTCCTCAAAAATGAAGGTTCTAAAAAGCCCTTCGTCTTGGTTCTTATCAAAATCTCACAAATATTCCGACATGATTTAAAAAAAAAAAAAAAAAAGATAAGAAGAAACAAGCCGTTCCTCCTTTTTTGGCCGCTGTTGAGTTTAATGTCAACTGAAGCGATGACGTAAGCGGAAATGACGTTTTCAATAGCAAAAAAATAAATATAAACATGAACAGGGGAAAAGACCAACTGCCTGGTCGGTGAGGCTCCTTAACGCATTAGTCATACAAGAAAAAAAAAATTGTTTTTATATAGGATAAAATCAGTTTTCTTCAATCGTCTATTAATAAAAACAGACAGAAACCGATCTAAAGTAAAACTTAAAAGTAACATATCTTAATTTTGGCCCTCAGCGATTCGTTGGTGTTCAACAAAGAACAAGCAAGAATATGGCAACATGAGCAATCGTATCGATTACGTTTTTCTAAAATCCTGAATAACACTAAAATTAGAGCAGAAGTATTGGGAAAACTAAAGCAGTTTTTTTTTTATTTCTTAGTTGGATTTTAATTTTATTTTTGTTGTTGCTAGGGAAGTTGTTTATTGCATTTCAAGACTTTCGATAGATTTTTTTACACTAAATTTTAAATATTTATCTGACGAATAATGAATTTTAATATTTATCTGACGAATATCTGCGAGAGTAATAAAATAAAATTACTTTTTACTACTTCGTTAGTAGACAGAATCAATATTATTATGTATTCCAAAACCAAAATATAGTTATTCCTTTATTTATCTTTTCTTTTTTAAAAAAAAAAACAAAACTTTGGCAATGTTTCGACCGGTACTTTCTCCAACCTTACCGTCAAGACTCAAACTCGTGTTTTATGTGAAGAATTTGCTGTTGTTGGCCTTGAAAAATTAACAACTGGAGAAAAACAAAAATTTTGTAAAACGTTTTGTCGATTTAAGAAGTTATCAGAACAATACCATTTTTTTTTTTTTTTTTTTTTACAGTTCATTCATTTATTGTAAAAAAATGACTGCTCCAAAAAACATTTTTATCAAAATCAATTTAAAAATAATAAAAACCAATATACTTTTATATGTTTCGCATAATTCATGACGATTTCAATAATTTTTATTTTAAATGAATTTAACTTACTTTTTTAACCCATAAAGTAAAAAAGTACCGCTTCTGTTCAGTTGGATCAATTTTAATTAAGGGAAATAAATTACTGTTCGCCGCTTGGAACTCTTCAATATTAATGGAAAAATAATATGGTGGAAGAAATGTGTTTATCGAACACTTTAAGTGTTTTATCAAACCTTACAAGAAATCTTGAACAATTCCTTGAGTAAGTTTGAAACATATTGAAATTAATCTATCCTCTTATACCTTATGAATTCTGCAATGTGTTATCTAATTAAAAATCTTAATTTAAAATCTTGATTTTTTTTCCTTCAGACCACGTGTTAACGCTTTTTAATGATGTTTTCTTCATTTTGAGAAAAATTTAGTGATTTTTACCATTTATTGCAGCTATTTAATGAATTTTACAAAAATAACAGTCGCTGTATCAAGTTTAATAATGTATTGAATATGTGCGATTAGATGGACACAAAAATAAATATACTTTTCCTTTTCCCCTGTCTGATTTTTACAAGACAAGACTAGGGAGAACACGCATAATTATAAATAAATAAATCGCAGTCAAAATAAAATTACGCTTATTTCTTAAAAAAAAGAAAAAGGTTAATTTATAAAACATTTTTTTTTCATCTGAAATGGCCTTTATGTTTATAATTTTTCTTCATTTTGTTTGAAATTCTTCTTTTTTTTAATGTTTATATAAATTTGAATTTTTTGTTGAAGTTACGTCTATTTTTAAAAAAAATAATCCTTTGTGCTATACAAGAGCTTTTTTTATTGCAAGATTGTTAGGCTTTGATTTCAATAACAATTGCACAAAATGATTAAAATGAAAGTGTACCATTGACTGATTTTTTTAAAAAAAAGGGATGGATAGGTACCAAGAAATAATGTAATTTTAAGGCAGAGTTAGACAAAATCAGAGTGACCTTTTTAGATACAATCCATTTTTGTCACCAATCAATAATCATTCAAAATTCATGAAGTGGAGTACTAAATTTGGAGATTTATTCTTCTCTCAAATCAAATGGAATATATCAGCACCAGATAGAACCTGGTGGTGGGGTAGTGATTTTCTAAGCATAGCTTAGATGTGGTGCAAGGCCGAAAGTAGGGGGCGCCCAGTGAGGATAGGACTCACTACTCAGTCGTAACTGTTCTAGTGAGACACGCTTGCTAACCGTTACACTGCCTCGAGGTGCCCAACTTGGTGGTGGGGTATGAAGAAAACCATTTTAATACATTGATGGCGAGGAAAATTAATTTTTAAAAATTGAAAGGCAGACAATTTTCTGTGTTTTATCATTCCATCATATGACTAAAAATTGTTGGAAACATCAAATAATGAAACAATGTCACTTCATTGAAGTTTTTAAAAGGAAAGATTAAAAAATTAAAATAAAGTTGTCTCGTAAACAATTGTAAATTTGTTTGCACAATGAACTGATTGTATTTATTTCTTGTCTACTGTAGAGAATTAATTCAAGGTAGGCCTATCAAAAGTCATTTAGGCCATGCTTCTGATATTACAAATTTTGACTGATTCATTCTTCTCATCCTTCAGTTTAAAGAGTTCAGTTGTCAGAAGAAAAGAGCTGTAATATTAATGACCTTTCTTGAAGTTACAGGCAATATGCTCTTGGTATATTATAGTTATAGGAAAGATATGGAATAAGTGAAAACATGGTCAGTTTTCTTTTTTTTATGACTTGCCCTGTCAGTAGTAGCAAATTGACTACTGTATCTATTAGTATTGAGACACAAAAGCATAAAACAATCTGATAAGTTTTGCAAATAAAAAGCTAAAACATTTCATCCTTTTATTTCTGTAAATATAAAGATGACTGCATTGTAGATACACAAATCATTAAATGCTTCTTGTGATTATTTCATTAATTATTTTAACTAGCATCTTTGTCTTAGATGTTTTGATCAGATGTACCCACCAATGCATTGTCCAAAACACTGATCAAAACAATAAAGTTGAAGGTAATAGTAATAATGGAATAAAAATATTTAATCACAAAACTTAAAATATCTGTCTATATTTGCAAAACTTTGAAAATGGCAACAAATATGAGGGCAACAGTCCAAACAACTCAAGACTTCAGATGACATTTATTTATTGTATTTAAATTTATTTCAGAGTGCATGAAAAGAATGCTGAATCACTGAAAAGAGCTACTAAAGATCTTTATGATTTCACTTACAAGAAGCTCCCTGTTAAAAACAGCCTTTCAGAACTAGTAATTGACCATTTTGATAATGAGCAGATTTGGCAAGAACTTGAACTTTACAATACAGGTGTGATTGGTGAACTTATAAAAGATTTATCTCACTTGTTGGCCAGGAAAGAAAAAATCTCTTTCAAGACAACTGCCAGTGTTGCAAGCAGCCAAAAAAAGAACTTGGAAGAAGACGAGGGAGAAGAAGATGAGAGGGGAAAAGACGAGGGAGAAGAAAATGAAGAAGAAAGTGATGAAGAGCTTAAGAAGATTAAGTCTAGGCTAAAAATGTTTGACAAGATTGCTAACAGAAATAACATCACTTCTGATCTAGACAGTGACTTTGATGCTGATTCTGATGATTTGGCTAAAGAATTCCATGAAGAAAATGATATGCTTCATGGAGGAGAAACAGAAGAAGAGGAAGAGGACAATGAATTGGAAGAAAAAGTACGGTCAAAAGATAAGAAATCTGCTAAGAAAAAAGCTAGCAAACCAACAATTGTTGATGATAAATTCTTTAAACTTTCTGAAATGGACATGTTTCTAAAGCAGCAAGATGCTTTGGAACTGAAAAAATCCAAACATCAGGCAGAAACTGATGAAGAAGATGAAGACATTGATATGTTCGAAGACATGGAATCAGATAAAGAGGTAATATTTAATTCAAAGTCTACAGCTTTTTTTATTTTTCTTATTTGAATTTTGTCTAAATTTGGAATAATTTATTTAGTCTTAGAAAGAATTTGCTTTAACTATTATATTAACTATACTTTAACTATTTAAAGTTTCTTCTTTACCTTCTTGGGAATTCATGTTCAAGTGCGTCTTATATGTATATATATTTTTATATTTTATCTCACATATATATATATATATATAGTTTTAAGATATGCTATATTTATAGGGTTAGTGCTCAATATCCAGAATAGAGCATATGTAAATATAAGAAGAGTGGATATTGATGTCAACATTGAGTGGTGTTAGACTTTCATGCTTGAGCACAATCTTCAGACCAAGGAGATTGCATTCAATTATGGGTGTAGAACTTGAAACGTTAAACCTAACCTGATGCTTGTCACACTTGACTGTACTCACCAAGGCTTCTCCTTTCTGCTGTTGAAGTCTTGCTGACCTTTCTTTCTTATATATATATATATGTATATATACACCCATATTGTATCTATTTCCATACTAGGCCTGCTAAAGTGGTCCTCATAGCCTAGCATATATGCTGATTCTTTTAGACATTTGACTCACTAGTGTTTTTCTCTGTCTAGTATTTTTACTTTATTCCACACAGGTGGTTGATGACCATCGTTTCCCTCCATACATATTAGATTTCATTGTCTCATCCCTAATTACAGCTTTTCAATGTTCTTTTTGCCTTACTTTTAGGAGGCAGCTAGTTTCACCTTTATATTCTTTGCTGCAACTGCAAGGGATATATTACACAGAGTTTTTTGTCATATTCTACTCTGTGTTGGGCTTCTGCGATTTCTCCATAGAATCAAGCTGCATCTGATGTTGTATGGACCACAGATTTTCTGAATTTTTTTTTATGCGATCTTGACTGTGGTCTTCTCCCTTCACCCTTCTGTTTCTGACTCCAAAAGCTGATGTTATTTTTACAGGGTAGATGTTATTCTTAAAGGTACATTCAATGCTGATCATTTCCTGTTTGTATGTGTCTGGGTTACTACTTTTGATTTTTGCATAGTGTTGTAGGCATTGGGTGATGTCTAGATTTACACTGTGTAGATGGTGGGAATTGAAGTTGAGGTATAGCCTGAAGAAGATTGGCTTGTGTTATATGAATGTCTTGAACCTATTCTGTGTAAATTATTAGTACATCCTGTAAAGCCAGTTGATTATTTTCTTCTTCCTTTGTAAACTGAATCAAAGATCTTTCTGAGTTCACAGGATCCAGTAGTATTTGTCCAGCTTCCTGGTAAGGTCAGAATATCATGGTGTCATCTGTGTATCTCAGCCATAATGTCAGCTTCAGTGGTGCTGTTCTTAAAGTCATTTCCTCAAACTATTCCATGTATATGTTTGTCATCATTGATAACAATGGTGAACCAATAGCCTCCTGTTAGTATATATCAATTCCTCCTGTTAGTATATATCAGATTAACTGGAAGAATGTTGTCTGTACACAGAACATCAATATTTCCATCAGATTAACTGTTGGAATGCTAGTACATTCTCCAAGGGATGGGCTTGATTCCAGTCACTTTTGAACCACAGATAGAAAACTCTGGTGAAAAAGCTTACCACATCCAAGCTTGCTATGGATGGGCACACCTCAGATGAGGTTTTCCCTGTTAGTGGATTGGTTATATCCACCAGGAATCTGCTTAGTGTGTGGCATGCCAAGTCCCTGCAGCTGACTATAGGTCTCGGTGGAATAGGTGGCAGCTTAGTGTAATGTTGAGTTAGCTGTCTATATTTATTCATTGTAACATAGTCTTTGGTCTTATTTAGGAACGGTGACAACTTCCTCTTGGATCTTTATTCACCTTACTATAACTACCATCTGCAATTAGACTTGCTAATTTACATTTTATTTACAAATGAGTTTTTTGGTGAACTTTCTGATGAGCTTTATTCAAAACACAAATGAAAATGTAAATGAAATTAATTCTGTGTTCCACAATGAGACTGACATTAAAGTAAAATTATAAACATTACAGACAAAACCTCAGTTTGTCTGACCCAGGAATAATATGAGCTTGGTACCAATACATTTTGGTATAAACAATTTAGATGACAGCTTAATATTCACAATACTTAGGCATCTGGTAGATAATGTATTTTTTGCAGAAATCTCTTGAGAATAAAATGAACTTTATATGACCCCATTAATTTCATTCATAAGTCTAGAATTTTCCAAAGATTTTTTTCATCTGTTGTTTAGAAAATGTTGTTTTGAAAAGATCAGCTGATTTCGCTTGATCCTATTGATTCTGTTTCTTTTACTTATAAATGGATTTTCCTCTTTACAGGAAAATGTTGATAAACTAAAATTTGATGATTTCTTCCGTGGGCCTGATGATGAGCTTCCATCAAAACGGGTTAGATTCAATGATAATATTGAAAAAGAAGAAGACAATCAAAGGTAAATACAACAAATACATTATTTCTTAATATATCCTTTATGACTTCTATTTTGCTATTGTGATGAGAAAAGCTAAATATATTTTGTCTTTAATGTAGACACTTGCCATGTTAGTCCCTCATTTAGAAGGCAGCAATAAAATATCTATTTTGAATGTCTCTTGGAAAAATTATTTTAGATGAAATAGTAATTTATCAGTTTGTTTAATTTTGAAGTAAAGATGATGTCAGTTTAGAAAATTTTCCTTTTACTGCCTACATGAAAAAAAAGAATGTCTAACCAAATGGGTTAATGGACCAACAATTAAATTACAATAACCATGGAAATGAACAGCAATTTTTTTTTCTTTTGCTTGATTTTTTGAACTCCTGACAACTGATTTTCTTGAGAACAACAAACTTTAAAAGTCAATTATGCATAAAAATTTTCATAACAATGTTGATTGGTACACCTTTTGTGTTCTTGAGAAATGAATCAATACATTGTATTAAATTTGATTGATTACTAATTTGCATTTTCTTGTGTCTTTTAATTCTTAGCAATTCTGGAGATTATGTCACTCTTCCTGTCAGTAAGAAAAAGTCTAAACTTTTTGACAATGATAGTGAAGAAGAAAGTGATGGAGAAGCTATTTCTGATATCATTGAAGAACCTGGTGATAAATCAACTTTTGAACTTCGTCAAGAAAGAGTAAATTTTTTTCTTTGTCTTTTTTTAAAGTCATTATATTATACACATAATTGCCCCATTGTCTTTCAGTAAGGCTGACATTAATTCTTGACTGCTGACAATCCCTTACTTTTAGATTTTCAAATTACAACAAATATATTGAGTGCCAAAACTTGCTTGAGCAAATTTTAGGTAAAGGTTTACCAAATTCAGTTGTTAAATAATCAGATTTTACTTTCCAGCATTACATTTGCATTCCTTCATAGCCCGTGGTAGAGAAAATACAGCTGGGATGACAAAGTTAATAATGCTCCCCTTAAGAACATTAAGATTGGAGCTATCACAGCTAGAATATCTCAGAATGACCCTGCACACAGCAAGTGGTGCATAAATTGACAAACCTATGAGATGTTAGTTGATGTGAGTTCCTTCACTACAGATGTTTTATTGGAGATTGACAGATGAGTTATCAAGGATGTGTGTTGGCAATGGCCAGTAGGTGATGCACAACACCAGAGCTGGATGCTATCCTGAAGGGCATCAATTTAGCACTACAGTGGGGCACAACAGGGTTGCACCTCTTCATGGACACCACATGTGTGCATTAGTAGGTATCTGACATGCTCACTGGGAAAAGCTAGAATGTATATGAGGGCAGCAAGCAAGATGCTGATCTGAAGATAGCTCATTCTTGAAAAGTTCGTCTACGTGTACAAATTATCAATGACCATGATGTTAGTGATGTCAAATCAGAATTGAGCAGACAAGCTCACAGGAGTATTGCAACAATGGTATAATGTGATCCAGGAGGAGATTGAACTGGCATAACCTATATATGCTTTGATGGTGAATGAAAAAGGTCAGACAATGTACTTTGTGAGAAAAATTCATCTTATGGCATCAATAGCAATGAAATGTAAGGAATGGCAATTAACTAACCCAGTCTCAACTTGTTGGCCACAATGCTACTTAAGTGTGAATGATATATTGTTGTAATGGAATGTCCCACACTCCCTATCACATATGTGGACTGACTATATCGGTAGATATATATAGTGAGCACAGGATATACCTGGTGGACTTACTTTGGGAATTACTAGCTTGCTAATCGATTCACTGTCTTTCAGTCATGTATTCTCTTTTACAATAAACCTCTCTTTCTTTCATCTACGCGAGTGTTGCTGTTCCTTTCACTCGAGTACCACCTTTGTTTGTAACCTCTAAGGATGCAACATATATGAACCTTTATTACCCTTTATGGTGGACAACACTAATATAATCAACTGTGGCCCCACTCAATTTACAATATAGTGATCTCTGCATCAGCAAGATACAAGAAACATCATCCAACATTTCAAGGCCATTTTCTATGAATGGAGTCCGATGACAGAAATCTTAACCATACTGTATTTTGCATGTTGCTTAAAGATTTCTTAAATGACAGGTAGGGGTGGGTAACTTTGCTTCAGGTGTGCATATATTTCCATGAGCAATGATATTGTTGAAATATAGCATTTTAGCATAAAGAGGATTACTGCAAGGAAGTAATATTCCATAATGGAAGCAGTGTATTGGCACAATGACACACTGTCCACTACTGCACCCACCAATCTGATTCACTATTACCAATTCAGAGTGAAGGGAAACAATGCAATATTATCATTTGATCATGGGAAGGATTGAATCATCTACAGATTGGGAAACCCAAGTCTAGGTGAAAGGTCCACATTGCTGGTGTACCTTCCAAGTATCAAGTGGGTTACATGACAAACCTTGTTAGTCCACAAACAATGATAATTGATGGAATGCCACAGCATGTAAAAGATCTCCGCCCCTTCATAGACTCAGGCACATTGATGTGTGACACCAATGATGATTTAACAATAGTGAACAAGTAATTGAACTCAGTGAATCCAGTGTGTCTACAGATGCATATATCCTGGAGACTGATCAAAATATATCCAATGATTCCTTGGGAAATGACTCCTACAACAAAACACCAGGATCAAGAGACCTGCCTCAGATTCTCCTTTTTGTGATTGTGAGATCTGGTAGTGTGGTGAAGAAAATGGTGACTTACCTTGTCAAAACAAGCACCAGCATGTTTCATATGTTATCCACTGGTGACTTCTGTCTTTACATAAAGAACATCATGCAAATTTTTGTTGTTCCTCAACAAATTACTGACTTCCCAACTTACATATAAGCTGAGTGCCTCAAGCAACAATGGAGTTGTTTTTTGTTTGCTGCAGTGTGTGAAGGGTGGTTTTGTAACCTACAAATTACAGATTTGCAACTTTTGCACTGTGGATATATTTTTTTTTTTTTTTCCACTTCTAGAACTCTTCATCAACAAATATGTACCAACTTTCGTTAAAAATGACACATGACAAATTCTTCAGAGGCCAGTGTGAGGAATACTATTTTCACACTCTGTTCACACCTCATGTGTCACTATATACTTAATCATTAGTGTAAATGAAAAGTTTTACATGTTTTGTCTCCCTTGAACTGATGATGCCAGATGGTAGTGTTATATAAGTGATAAACTGTTTATAAAGCTGTAAGGTAAAAAATATGACTCTGTCAAAGAGTAGAACATGATAACAACAAATGAAAAAAAAAATTTAAAAAAGTTGTAATTTTGAAGGTATAAATGAACTAATTGGTTGCATTAATGTCAAATTGATAGTTTAAAAAAGGATCTACCATGAATTTCTGTTGTATTTTCCCTTGTTAATTTTTTTTATTAATTTGTAAAACTCAGATCCATGTTTATATAATCTTTTCAATTTCTGTTTATTACATGAATAATGTAAAGCAATAATTTTGTATTGAAGTTCCTTGATTATTTCTTAATAACACTGAATAGCTTGATTGTAACATGTTTCATAATGATGCCAAGTTAATTCCAAACAGATTAATACTAATAACAAAATGAAATTGATAATGGCATTCATAAAATGTGGTTGTTATATTCTGGCCAAATGCTTTAATAGGCTTGGACGGTTGTTTTTCAATTCCACAATCTACCTTGGTCACAAATATTAATCACAGCCCAAATGAGTTGTGATGGCATAATAGACACAAGTGTTTTTCTCTTACAACAATTTATTGCACTGGGGTAATAAATCTGAGTGTAATCTTATTTAGTTCTGGCAGAAATAATGGTCAGTTTCTGTATGTTCAGTTTAAAGTTTTTCAAGAGAACCATGTTGGTTCAGACAATCATGAATTGAGAGGTGCTTACAGTGCAGTGTGAGAGCCTAGATTTTTTCGTTTATATTCACTAAGTAAATCCCATCTTTCAAAAATCTGTTGGTATGAAGAAAAAAAACACTCATGCTTGTCTTTCCACAACCCATTAAGATGTCGCTATGACAAGAATTCATCTTCAAATTTTCCAGCTCCAGAAAAAGATTTCGCAACTAGAAAAAGCCAATGTTGCAGATAAATCATGGCAATTAAGTGGAGAAATTGGTGCCAGTGCTCGTCCAGAAAACAGTTTATTGGAAGAACATGTGCAATTTGATAGCACTTTAAAATTAGGTGAGGAACTCTTTTGTTTTGTTTTTTCTTTCTTTCTTGTTTTATTTCTCAATTCAACTCTCTTTCTCTCTCTCTTTCTATATAATGTGCGTGTGTAGAAACATCTATTTCACAAGAATTTATACAAACTAGTCTTATTGAAAGCAACTAACATTTTCATTTTTTTTATTACATTTTTCCAGTTTTCATATAAACTGTTGCATATTTGGAAATTGTCCAAAATTCAAGATGTTTGAAAATTTAATATCATCTTCATCCTTAGACTTTGTTGCTTATTTTTAACAAAACATGTTTGAATTATAAATATAAAACCAACCTAAAAGGTATACTAGACATTTGAAGATCACACAGTGTGAAATTGGCAGTTGTGCTATTATACTTTTGTTTAATTCATTTTTAATGGTATAGTAGCTTTCTCCTTTTAACATTAAGCTCTTTTTTTTACACTGGCACTATGTAGGAGCAAGTTTTTTGTTATCAAATGTATCACTGTTGTGTTGTTGCTATTGTTAATAGTAGTAGCCATCTCATAACATGCTTCCCCTATTTTAGTGGTGATGAACTGTAGACAGCATTGATTAAATTATGACAAAAATGAAAGAAATGCAGCTGGATTATTCTTTAAACAATATTCTAATACCAAAACTCTAAGTATATAAGTTAACATTTATTCAAAAAGTAAAATATTTTTTAAAGAATGAAAATCAACCAACAACATGCCAAGCTGCACTTACAGTGAAACACATTTTAACTAAATGGATTCATTTCACACCTGTAAGACATAAATACTACAAGGAAACCAACATGAGAAAACTATTTGAAAATTGAAAATTTGAAAAACTATTTGAAACTGTGAACATAATGTCCTACCTTAAAGAAATAGGTTTATGCCAAAGCATATAACATTGCAATAGATCATCTACAAACTATACATCTATAAAACATACATTTACTCTGAAAGTATAAAATTATGTACAAAATATCTAGTTGTAGGAATAAAATTGCATTCAAGTTATATTGTTGTAGCCATAAAATTGCATACAAAATATTTAGATTTCGGCATTAAATAACCTGTAGAGGTTGATATGCCTCTAAACAAAAAAATCTAATGGTAATGAAATGGATAGCTTTTTATTCCTTCCACAGTGAAAACAGTGACAGTATTTCCACTACAAAGGAGAGGGACAGATTAAAAATAGCTAAATGTCCACCAAATCAGATAAAATTGAACAAATATGAGAAATATATGCTCACTGTGATGAATAAACTTAACTTCTGGGAGGTGCAAGACAATTTTCAAAGGAAGTGTAAAGAAGATTTGAGAAAAAGAAAAGTAAAACTATTTGTCTTTGATGATAAACGTAGGAAGGTGTACATGATGGAACCAAGTAAACAGAACAAAACAAATTTATTAATGAGGATATGGCAAAGATTTATAGAAAGGCACCAAATAATATAGCACATGATATAAAAATGAAAACCAAGAATATAACTACAAAATTGAAGGTGAATAACCATGTTCCCAGCATTGTGATACACTGTCTGCATTTATAAGAGTGAAAGACAAGAAGAAAAATGTTAAACTGAAGCTTGCATGTAACCTCTTAAACTACACTGAGAATGTTTGGGAGAAACTTTGTTTAAAAAAAAAAAAAATTACTGGATGGGTGTACATTGTGTGTTACAAGAGGTGTTAGAAATCAGCCAACAAAAATATACCAAAGCTATCGTTAATTTAATATTGTAACAGATAAACAGAGGCTGATAGTTGTATATTTTGATATTCAAGATTTGAGGTGAATAAAGAAAACAATAACCAGCGAGTAAATTCAAGCTCTCCCAACTGGTATTTCAACCTTGAGTCGTTCCCTCTTGAGTTCTGTCTCAAAATCACACTAACTGCCCGTTCTCGCTGTCAACCGTGAACATCCCTCGAAGAACCCCCGACTCGGAAAAAAGTAGTTGCTTTTATAGTTGTTCATATACCCATAATCCCTTGCATCTTCATGTGATCCCATAATTCATTGCGTCCATGTCCCATAATGCATTGCATCGTTATTGCATAAAAATGCAATGCCAGTCCCCCCTCATTCTTTTACATTATCTGTCCAAGGATGGATTACGGCAGAGCGGTAAGTGCTTTTTTTCTCTCCCTCATTTCAACTGCAGTAGCTTTACATGCTTGGCGGGGACAAGGCAAGTCGTGACCAGTTGTGCTCGCCCCAGGTTCTGTCTCATGTCCGCCACAAGATTATGTCCTTGTCAGTGAAGAAACATTTAACAAAAATATAGATAGTGTCAAGCTGTACATAGATAAAAATAATTGGCAAATAGAAATAATTAAGGACACTGCCAAAATTTGTTATTATTTCACAATAAAGTAGATTAAAAAAGGCAATCATGGTAGCTTTGATGTGACTATGGGAACTTGTGATGTCACACATATGTGAAATTTGTCTAAATTAATGGAAATACTTTATGGCTATATCAAAATGATAACTTAATGATTCTTGGTGGCTGCAATGGCAAGCAGAACAAAGAATTTAGAAAAGTTTTTAAAGATCTGGGTTTTGAGATTGAGATGGATTTGAAAGAGGGGGGCTTCTTTTATGTTACATATCATCTCACTAAAAAGTATGCCAAAAAAGAATTAAGTGATTTTTTTTATTGTCAAAGATAGTATCTGATTGTAAAATGCTGCAAAGGATCTCCGGCACTTCTAAAAGCAACAATACATTTGACATTAGTTTAGTCTCTAAAATTTATTAATAAGTTTATCTGTAGTGTTAAAAAATGACTGCCATATTTAAGTAATTTTTTCAACTGCATTGATTATATTTTCTGCATATATAATCTAGGATTTTATCTACAATTTTTTTTTTTTAATTCATTAAAAATAAAAATCTCCAGAGAAAGCAAACTCAAAGCCAAAGAAAAGTATTTAAACAGAATGTATTAGCAACCTTACTCTACTAATGATATTCAGTTATGATGATACTAGATATGTTTGCTTATTGGCATCAATTAATGGCTCCTTTTTTCATAGCAATGAACTATCTCACTACTGAGAGGGAAAGATCATGATGTGTGACCAATAAATATATAGTTGCATTGTTTTATAGAATAGATTTGTGTTTGTTTACTGAAGAATGTTTAATTAGAGAAAGGGACTGATCAGAAAATAATTGTTTTTCCACCTAACTCATGAAAGAAGTCAATGAAGATTGTGATGTTTCATTCTTGAGATTTAAAATTGACTTTAGCAAATTAATGTCTTGTTTTTATGATATGCTCTATGATCATTGCAAAAAAAGTTGGCCTTTTTGTGAAATGTCTGTGATGAGGGTACAAGGAAAAGAAGATATCAAAAAACTTGAAACAGTTGTTAATTGGTAAATTTCACGGGTACAAATGGTGTTCAGTGCTAACTTCAGGCATCCTTGTCATGTATATCATCATTCATTTATCCTATGCAAGCAACACTCACAGGGGACAAAGAGACAAATTACCCATCTGTAATATTTTTTTATTTCTAATGAAGACCTGTCACATTTTCATTATGACTTCTTGTTTAACTCGGTGTGATTAAACTGAAAATAATTCTGAAACTTTTGTTAAAATATTTTTTTAGCTCCTGAAATCACTGAAGACACCACAAAGACATTGGAAGATTTAATTATTCAAAGGATAAAAGATCAGGTATATGTATTTTTTATGTATTCTTTACTTTTTTTCTCATTGATTTTGCAATGAACTTTCATCAGAGAAATACTTTACTCTTGGTACTCTCCAAAATTTAATTCATGATGAAAATTGTTGAAAGGAAATTAATCTTACATTTTAACTTTAAAAAAAAGTTCTATATGATATCCCAAATTAATGATAACAATTTAGCTTTGTATATTGGTTTATTTGTACTGCTTTCTAGCCTTCCATGGGTGTCTGTCATATTTTGGAATGTTGAACCATGATCTAACGGAGGAATGGAAGCATGTATTTATTCTCAAACAAATGTCAAGTCCATTATCCATCTTTGTGAATTTTTGAATTGCCCAACACTCTCTTTATGTCGAAGTTTAACATCCCAAAATGTGGTGGATATTCAAGGAAGGAAAACAAGGAAAAAATGAGTCCAAATGCACCAATGATTTACTTTAAAAAGATTTTGTATTTCTAGCGTATATTTTAAAAAATTCCAGATGTCTCCGTTATCTCCTTTTAACAAGGACCTATGGCCTAGGGATAAAAGTGTTGGTTGGATCCAGTGATTTGACCCAAAGAGTTGTGAGTTCAGTACCTGGCTACTGCAGTGATGAACAAAAACTTTGGGAGTTGAGTTAAAGGGAGATAACTGAGACATCCGGAAGAGGCATAGCACGTGGAACTAGAACTATCTACCTCAGTGGATGAAATAAAGGGTTCAGTTCTAAATTTCAATCATCTTGAGAAAACCGGAGCATACAACAGCTGAAACATTGTGAATATGACAGCAAAGATGGTTAAATTTTGTGGTGTAAAACAGAAATTTTGAATACCTCCAACACAGACTTATCATCTTCATTTTTGAACTCCAATGAAAAGTTGACAATATAAAAATAAGTTTATTTCATTTTATGGAATAAGAAATTGAAACTGCAAAACAGGAATTTCACTAAAAGGAAATGGCTAGCATCCAGAACAAACATGCAAAGGGGACATAACTAACATCAATGCCTATTCTCTCACATTTGCCTTTTGCATTTTAATTAACGAGCGACGTGGTACAAAAGACTATATGGAAACACTGCTGACAGAAGACTGGATGTAATGTGTTTCAAAACTGGTGCTACATTTCTGTCTGTTTTTCTTTTCCCTCAGCCAATATTCCATGCCTTTCTCACAACTGAGCATGAGTCTTCACCATATGATGTTTGTTTATAAATTGTTAAAACATTGATAAGTCAGTTTAAATGTATTTCCATTTATTGAGTCAAGTGCAGATTTTCATGTGACCAGCTTATGGATAAAGTGGAGGTTTACATGTCTATATTGAATGTCTCGATTTGTACATAAATTAAAATTCTGTTTGTTGAAGAACGCTTATTGTTTACACTGCAGGCTTGGGACGATGTTGAAAGGAAAGTGAAAACTGCAGATGCTGCATATGAATATAAAAAACCAACTATGCTCGATCAGGAGAAGAGCAAACTGAGCCTGGGTGAAATTTATGAAAAAGAATATCAAAAACAAGAAGAGGTAAGTGCATAATATATAGAAAGTTGTTCTTTTGTGTTAAATTTATCACTGCTTTGTCAATAGACAGCAATTTCTAAAGAAAGTATTTAGTGTAGAAATTTCAGTAATTGTGAATCACCTTCTCTCCTTTCTCACAACTCTTACCTGCATGAGTTTGAAGTGATTTATAAAAAGGCATGGCCAACCCAAAGAAAGAAAAAACTTGATGTACTTTGCAGGGGTTCTTGCTCTAATAGTAGAGACATTTGTTTCTTCAATGTCAGGTACAAATGATGGTCAAAAAATAAAGGAAGGCTTTAGAAACTTGCTTTAACAAGTGTAAGTGAGAACCAGATTATTTAGAAAGAGAAAAAAATGAATAAACTAATGAAATGTTGTCTCAAAACAGAAATAATTGAAATTCATTCTCTCTTGTAATTGTTTTATACTGAAACTGATTGATTTTTGTTTTTATTGCTTGTCAACCCTTTATGGTTTATTCAAAGCTGAGACATATTTTGGATTTTAGCAGTACCCAATGTTCCCAAATGGTAATCTAAGTACTGACTGGGCTTGACACTGCTTAATTTCAATGATTGAACAAGGGATAACAGCTGAAAAGTACAAGCTAACTTCATGCAATGTAATCAACTTTTTTTCTGTATTTACCATTATTTCCCTGCTGAACCAAATTCTTTTTGTTTTGTAACTGGAAGCAAAAAAGTTTATATAGATTTTTGGGCAAATCCTTGTTTAATATTTTATACTATAGTGACTTCTTTTTATATAATTTATATTCTACTCTGAGTAATGAAACTTGCTCAGCCTAAAGACTAAAAGTTGTTTTTTTTCTGTAAAATTACAGCTGTATAGACCTTCACACAAACTCTTATGAGCACAATAAATGATATAATGGAATGTCACACACTCCCTATTGCCTATGTGGATTGACTATATCAGTAGCTATATATAGTGAGCACAGGGTATACTTGCTTCGGGAATTAGTCTAGAGTTGGAAATTCATCTCCAGCTGTGCTGGTCGAACTCTCTGCCTCTGGGCAGAGAGGATCCCCAAATGAGGCTGTGTCAAGGGGCAGACTCTTGTCTTGGGAAACAGCTACCCGACCCCGTTTTATACGCGGAATTTTTGGCCAAACCTACAGGCTTGGATACCCCACATTAAATTTGGCCTTGTGCCACATCTGATCGTGTGAGGCGGTTGGTAGATATCCTTGCTTCAGGAATTAGTTGAAGATTCACCTCCAGCTCTGCTTGTCAAACTCTCTGCTTTTGGGCAGGGTGGATCCCCAGACAAGGCTATGTCAAAGGGAAGTCTCTTCTTGGGGAAACAGCTACCAGACCCTGTTTTATACGGGGAATTTTTGGCCCAACATACGGGCTCAGATGCCCAAAGTCTTGTGCCACATCTGACTGTGTGGGGTGGTTGGTAGATATGCTTGCTTTGGGAATTACTAGCCTGCCACCCGATTCCCTGTCTTTCAGTTGTGTATTCTCTTTTACAATAAACCTCTCTTCTTTCATCTACACGTGTTCTGCTGTTCTTTCACCTTTGTAACCTCTTTAAGGATACAACAGTGGTGACGCCAGATTCAGTTCATACTCACAGCAAGAAAGACTCAGTGAAATTACACAACAAAAATGGAACAACTGGCTGAATTGACTAAAGTATTGCACACTAATTTGCAGTTACAAGAGCAACAATTGCAACAACAGCAGCAGCAGCAACAACAATTACAGCAACAGTTGTTACAGCAACAAGAAAAATTTGAAAAATCACAAAATATTTTTCAAGATGAACTTGATAAAATTACAAAAACAACAAGCAGAAGATACTAAGCTATTATATGAAACCGTAATATCTAAAACAGCAGAAGCTACAGATTCTTTTCCCTTGAAAGAATATCGAATTCATTATCAGAATTCAAGTATGACCCGGACAATGGAGTAACTTTCCCTGCCTATTTTTGTAGATATGAGATGACTTTTCAAAAAGGTGCGAACAATGGTCTGAAGAGGAGAAAATTATGCTGTCAGTCCAAAAATTAGCTACAGAGGAGAACCCTAAATACACAAACCTAATTTTATCTAAAAAGCTGGAAGAAATCTCGTTTGTTGAGACACAGATTTTGTCAGGAATTTTTTGATGAAAGAGATAGTTTGTTCCATACCAGACATAAGTGCTTAAACATTGACTATGAGAACTTGTGATGTCACACATATGTGAAATTTGTCATTTTAAAAAAAAGACTTTTTTTAAGGATATGGTTTTCTTTGAGTATGGATACGTCGGTCACAAAAGCTCCCACTGTTGGTATAAATAGAAAAGAAGCAAAAATTTAAATCAAAAGTAAATGTTGTTTTATCCAAGAACAATAATGAAAATGGTGAAAAAAGGAAATATGTAAATATGAAAATAAATGGTCATACAGTGAAGTTATTGTTGTATACTGGAAGTGACATTTCTATTGTGAATGAACAAACATGGAAGAAAATAGGTTGTCCATCATTGACAAGTACCAAAAAAATAGCCAGAGGATTGTCTGGTGAGAACCTAAACTTCAGGGGTGAATTTAGTTGCAACGTATCATTTATGGAGATGACTTTCAAATCAAAAGTCTATGTTCTTTCAGGTACAATAAATTTATTTAGTACAGATTGAATTGTACTTTTCGATTTATGTGAATTACCCGTAAATTCATTTTGCAACAAAGTGGATGTGTCAGTAAAGGAAAAATCTGAAGAAATAGAAAAATTTATTTCTGATCTGAAAAACGAATTTCCACACGTTTTCTGAAGGTCTCGGACAATGCATGAAAACTGAGGTCAAGTTTGAACTTAAAGTCAACATAAGACCAATATTCAAACCAAAAAGGAATGTACCATTTTTAGCTTTACATTCAGTAAATCAAGAACTGGAATGTTTAGAGAAAAGGGGTGTAATTTCTAAACTCACATTGGGCTGCACCTACAGCCTATGTAAGGAAAAAGAACAAAAAGATTCGAGTATGTGCAGATTTTTCAGCCAGATTAAATGACTGCCTTAAAGACCACACATACCCTTTACCTTTTTTCTAAGCTAAATGGTGAAATGTAGAATAGATCTGTCTGACGCATATCTACAAGTGAAAGTAGATGAAGAGTGCTCGAAGTTATTAGCAATTAATACACACAAGGGACTCTACAAGCTAAATCATCTCCCATTTTTGGTTAAAGATGGCTTCCAGTTTGTTCCAGCAAATAATGGACACCATGTTAGCTGGACTAGAATTTGCCATAGTGTACCTAGACGACATTCTGCTAAAGAGTGAAAACAACAAACAGTACAAAAAACATATCATGGCAGTGTTCCAGAAGATTGACGAATATGGCTTCAAGCTAAGTTCTGATAAATGTGAGTTCTTCATGAAGCAAATCAAGTATTTAGGGTAAATAATCGACGAAAACGGAAGAAGACCAAACTTGGCAAGGGCTGAAGCTATTAAAAATATACCACCACCAAACAATATTACTGATCTTCAGATGTTTTTAGACTTGGCCAATTCCACAAGTTTGAAGATGGGACTACAAAACTCATAGCCCATGCTTCCAGAATCCTGCTTCCTACAGAAAGAAGTTATAGCCAGATCAAGTGTTGGAAATTGTCTGCTTGCAAATGAACAAATATTTGACATTTACAAAATTGTACATCATTACCATTGGACATTCTTGTCCTCAAATCGATTGTCAATGCAGCAAAAAGTATTGCTGCTATCCAATCTCTGTGTTATTGTGCATTACAATTGCTGATAGCATCATTCATGGCTGTTCTATAATTGGGTTCTTTGCTTCACCTGTATTCTTTTTCTTGATTTTGATCATTTTTTTTCTTTTTGATCTTTTTCCAGACTCAAGAAGATACTCAAAACAAAGATAATCCTGAACATGAGGAAATCAAGAAAATGATGAATTCATTGTTTATGAAATTAGATGCTTTATCCAATTTTCATTTTACACCAAAAATTGTAAGTTACTTTTTTACTTTTTTTTAATCAGAAAATTTACATTCTGAACTGAAACATACTTAACATGTTACATCAGTTTCCTTTTAACAGTAGAATTCAATGAATGTTTTTGACAATGTGTTATGATGTTGATTTGGAGTTAGTAGAGACAAACGCCAAATAGCACGTAACAATAAAAAGGGTTTTAATAGGTTGGTAAAAAGGTACAGAAATCGCCTGAGTAGTCAATAACTAGCTCAGCTAAGAACTTCTCTGTCTATCTGTCTCTCCCATGTCAACTGACATGCCACTATTTAAAGTCTTTGTTCACAGACGCAGACAAATTCATCTTCAAGAGGGGTGGTAGGTTTCCGGCACAACACAATGAGACAACAAAGACTAAAAAACATCTTTCATAAAACAACTGACAAGATAATAGCAAAAAATGTTTTTCTATTAACTTTAAATTTTGCTTTGGATTTATTGAAAACTAATTCAAATAACATACTTTAAAAAGTTGTACAACAAACACAAAGAATGAATGAGCAGAAATAAATGTTTTGCAATAAAAAACATCTTGTGCCTTTTTATAATATTTAAAAAAAATAATTTAGAAGGAAGTGTATATCTACAGAAAACCTTCAAATTCTCATATGTTATGTAAATCTTTTTTTTTTCCTCCTTTTTATTAAATTATGAATTCAAAAAGATTGATTCATGTTGTTTCTGAAGAAAGAGGTTTCCAGAAGCTTCCTGTAATTAAGTTCTTATTGTAGCTATTGTTCAGGAATATATAATTAAATCTTGGAATATATTATGCATGTAAATGTGTCCTTAAACAATCTTCTAATATGAAATCCATGTGTAGCTGATATACATCAATGTGTTTTTGGTCTTCACAAGGATTGTTGTTGTCAGATGCTATCATGTGAAGCATTGGTTGTTTGCTTGAAAATTACATTTTTATTAATGAAGAATCTACTGTTATCAACACAAAATTCAACAGTGACAAAAAGCTTAAACATAATGTCTAGAATAAAGATAAAATGCTTGTTAATTTATTATAAATTTGCAGTTCACTGAAAAGTTAAGGAAACCTGTTTTACCAAAAATTTGAAACAGTTACTTGAAGTTAAATTTATTTCTTATTTATTTTTTTATTTGATTCAGTTTTTATGCTGGTTGAGGTCAAATTTCAGATTTATTTTAAATATATATATATATATATACCCACACACACACATACAGAAATGAAGTTGTCATAATTTTTATTTTTCAGTCAATTCCTGATGTGAAAATTGTAGCCAATTTGCCTTCAATCACAGTAGAAGAAGTTGCTCCTGTGGGTGTCAGTGAAAACCAGTTGGCAGCTCCAAAAGAATTACTTGTCAGTACTGCTTATTTTTTTCCCCCCATTTTCTATTATTTAAGCACTTAAGCAATGCTTATCATCTGTCTATTGTTTATCGAAAAGACTACAAGATAAAACTAATCTGAATATTTATTATTGCCTTGACCTTGTTTTTTATCATTCACAAAATTTGCTTATTATTCACCTACTTGCTAATAAATCTTTGAAACAAAAATGCAAAACCTTCTCTTTTTTCCAATTTCTTTTGTAATTTTGCATTAAATATTTTTTATTTTCCTTTCTGTTTTATATTATAGTTTTGTAAATTTATATATTATTAGTATTTCATATTTATCTTAAATACAAGGAACTTAATTTATTTCTTTTCAAATTATATACAATTTTTATTTTTTATGTCTCCTAAGCCAGCAAGTTATTGATTTTGTAACAAAATGAAAAATGCAGAAACCTTTAATTTTTAATCCCCCACTTAGGTTTCTTAGTGGGAAATACATTTTCATATTTCAAAATTTAATTTAAAAAAATTAAACAAGTGGAAATTTTCCGTCAAAATGAATTGAATGACAAATGTGTGCACATGCATATTTTACTGACATTAAAAGAAATTCCAAGAAAGGAACCTAACAATTCTAAGAAATTGGTAAATTAAGCAACATGCGATGTTGCATTTCTTTGAATTGGGGGCGATGACATTTGTTTTTCTTAAAATCAAGGCTACTTAGGATTAACAAGAAAAACCTGCTTCCTTCTAAATCTGTAAATTTGTGTAAATTTCTTCCAAAATAAAACCCAAATTTTGTTTCTGGTTTTCCATTTACAGGAACCATTAAAAAACACTCTGAAAGGCAAAACTGAACGCAGTGTTTCTGACAAAAACAAGGAAAGGAAACTAAAGAAAAAATTAAAGAAATTAAAATGGAAAGAAAAGCAAAAAAAGCAAAAATACCTGGAAATGCTTGACCCAGATTCAGTGAAGACATCTAAGAACAAAGCATTAAGAAAACTTGAGAAACAAAGTCGAAGTAGCAAAAAAGTAACAGTCATCAAGGTGAGTATTATTGAAAAGTGATTGCTTTTATGAAAGAGGTCTTTCTGATGCTTGTTTAATTGCCTGTGTTGATGCAGATTTAATCTTTGGAACAAACAGTTGTGTCATTATTATTATTAGTCTATGAAGAAAGACAAACAGCTTGTGAATGATAGTGACTATTAAAACAATTGAAGTATGTGTAAATAAGTAATCTGATTGCAAACATCTATTTTCTCAGGACAGAGATGCACTGGTTTGCTTATCTTTTATAAACTTGTTTTACATTAGATTTCATTTTTTCTTGCCTTATTACTCTTGTTGGTAGACAAGAATCATGATCAACAATCACATCTTTTATTGCATGAAGGCTTCCCTCTCTCTCAATTATAACTGCTTATTTCATGACATTTTCCCCCATCAACATCCAAGCCAAACCTTCTTGCTCTTTGTCACAACTGTCTATGTGCTGAGATTGTTCTCTTTTTGATTGAACCCAATCAGCATAATGCACAATCTGCAATCAGATCATAAAGCTCACACCAACAATGACAGGTCATTTTACCCACAATATCAACACAACCATATCACTATGAGTTATTAGCATTTGAGGGAGTAAATTACTATTTCAAAATTCTCTTCTAAGAATATATACTTGTAAAATTTTCAACCCCATACTATAAACACAATTATTTGTGGATGTAAGTTGCAATAAATTATGACTTTCATCTCAAAGTTCTTCACTGAGATGTCTGATTATTGACTACATCATCAATTTGTCATCTTTTGTTGTTTGACAACAGGAATTCATTTTGTATTCTTTTTTGCCTTTTTGTTTGCCCAAATGAATGATGTAAATAAAAATCAAATATTTGTTACAAACTGTAGAAGGGAAAATGGTTTACCTCCTGAAATAAAACGTGCTTGTATGTGTCTTGCATGCAAAATAAGTGAAAATATATGCTCAATCCAAAAGCTGCAATTTAAGAACTTGATCTCAGAGTCCAAAGATTTTGTGACACAAATTTATGGCTTATGCAAATTTCTGAGCCTCAGTCACTCAATAGAATGAGTATGAATAAGAGAACATCAGACAGGCTGCAGATGCTGACGAGTTGAGCGGTCATGCTCTGTGTTGGGAAATCCGTTGTCATCTCACCAATAGAGATTGAAAGGAAGACAGGGTAAAACTGGTACTCCAAATGACCATACTTTTTTAGTTACATGAAAGATTCTTTTGTCATCATTTTTATAATTTGGCTTAGGGTTAGTTGTGATTTGTTGATTTGCAATGATTAACAGGCTTTGTTGATCTCTGCATTTTTATCTGCTTAATGGTGTTAAAGTAATTATTCACAAACATTGGCTCCATTTTATTTTCATTTGACATCAGACAATATTACCAACAATTGTGTTTAATAAAAAGTTCTACATTCTTAATCTTTTAACTATTGACCAATATTCTATTTGCACATTACAAAAACTAGTGAGAAAATTAATCTTAAATTTTAACTGACTTCAACTGTAGATATTGTTGACATTCTAAATAGTCTATATTAATTTTAAGCATTTTTTTTTGCATTTATTTTTGTTTAAATTTATGCTCCAGTCATTTCTTAATTACCAAAGGAAATGTCATTCAGAAAAGTTTTTGGTCATTTTAAAATGGGGTTATGATTAAATAGACCAATTTGACCTGATTACTAATTTCAAAGGAAACATTTCTATAGTTATTGAATAAATCAAATAACATTTTGTTTTTATTGCAGGCAAATGTCAAGAAAGGCAAAACATCATCTGCTGATTTCTTCAATCAACTGCAGAATGAAGTGACACATGAAATCAAGAAGAAAAAACAAGATAAAAAGAAGACAAATGCAAGTGGAATATCTTCTGTACAGTTAAAACTTTAGTTGAACTTTTTATTTTTATATGAAAATCATCCTTAATAATAAAGAATAAAAAATGACATGCTTTTTCTTTGGGAATATTTTCAAATTCTGTGCATCAGTGCACATTTTGTGGTTGATTTTGATTTTAACAAAAGCCTTTGATTTAAAAAAAAATGTTGGGTTGGATGGTGAGGGAAGAGAAGCTCTGTACAAAATGTACTTGTGCTTCATTTCAGTTAAATGAAACAAAAAGGAATTTCCAATACCATGTCTCCATCTCTTTTATAACATTTTCTGCTGAAGATGTAATCATTACATTGAAATATAATTTATTTTGTTAATCTAACTGATGATGAACTACAAACAGGTTTTTCAGATCATCCTTTCAAAACTTTATGACTCTCCACAACTTCCTGTCTTTTGTTGTTCTATGTAATTCTTATCCCTTCGCCACCTGTCTTTGTGGTTTTTGTTCTGCCATCCATTCACTCCCTCATCAAGTAGATTACTGTTTCACTCTGATTTCTTGTCTTCACTATACCCTATGATAGTTGAATTCTCCAAGCCTTCTGTCATCATTATGTGTCCTAGAAATTTCTGATTGTCAGCTGCAATTACTTGTAGTTTCTATTGTCTTTTAAAAAAAAGAACATTGTTATATGTTTTATCTATGATAAACTCCTGATCAAAAATTTAAGACTACTTGAAAAAATTTTATGAGAAACTGTTTGTCATGGATACATTATAAACTTTTTCTTTCTTAAGGTTACTAATTCTATAATCTAAAAGGTTATGCAGACAAAAAGTTATAATCTGATCAATTTATTCAGAAATGGACATTTTTATAAAATGAGGCGTTTTATTCTTGATCATAATTATAAGACCAGGGGGTATAAATTGTTAGATCTAGGGTAATTCCAATGTTTTTAATTCAGTTAGAGATTAGCAATCACTGTGTAAAGGTGTAACCAATGTCTAAAGCAAGCAAACTTACTGAAGTTGAGCATGCTTGAATTCTAGATTTCCATAATCAAGGTTTGTCACAGCGGGTGATTGCAGCTTGTAATGAGTTGGTCAGTCAACTTGAAACCCCCAAAGCGAGTGGAGGTGGGCAGGCGCGGGAACTGTGATTGGTAGCTGGCTTGTTGGTGTTTTGCATAGGTGAGTTACCAAGCTCTATGTAAAGGGCTGGAATGAGAAGGAGGGCAGTTTTTTTTTTTTTTTCAGTCTCAGAAGTGGAGACTGTGTCGCTATGACAGCAGAAGAGAAAGAGATGAAATGATTTATTTTTTCATGACACATTCCGACACAAGCTATTTTGTCTTTTACTTTGACTCCAGCAAGATGGCGGAAAGACCGTTCGACATAAAACTGATCTCTGAATTCAGTGGACAGTCTATGGTTGAATGGATCGAAAAGGTGGAACTGGTCTGCAAATTATGCAAGATCATGAAGATTGAACAAATTTTTGCACTGCGATTGAAAGGCAGCGCCCTTGCTGTGAATAGGCAGCTGAGCAAAGAACAGAAAAGTGACATTGAACAAATAAAGCACACTCTACTAACCACGTTTGTGGCCTATGACCAATTCCAGGTGCGGCGTCTACAACCTGGCGAGACAGTAGACGTATATTTGGCGGAATTAAAGAAGCTCGCCGTATCGATCGCACCGCTTCCTGAAGAATGGATGACCTGTGCCTTCATGTCTGGATTGCCTAGTCATGTTAAGCAGATACTCCGTGCATCATCCAGAATGGAAGACATGACCCTCGATCAATTGTTGATCAGAGCCCGTTCTGATCGACTAAAAAGAGGCTGATGAACCAGTGGCTGCAGTCGTTCAGCCAATTGAAGTCAAAGAGGATCCATGGCGATGTCACCTGCTATCGGTGCTCTGAGCCGAATCATTTTGCCAAAGACTAGCGAACGGCTGGCTTGCGCCGTACACCGAAGAGGAGTTAGGGCCGCCTCGAGGACTGTTTCCGTTGATGGCAATAGTGCAAGAGAATAAGGGGAAAGTGAAACCGGTCATGGACTACAGGGAATTGAATACCTTTGTAGATGCATATACGGCCAACCCGGACGTTTGTGCCCAGAAATTCTGGGAATGGCGACAGCAAGGGAGCAATGTGGCCACCCTCGATTTAAGAAGGGCCTACCACCAAGTCCGAGTCCACTGATCACTCTGGCCCTTTCAGACTGTCATGGTAAAAGGACAGAGATATTGCCTCACTCAATTGGGATTTGGTCTTAATGTGACTCCAAAAATCATGTCAGCGATTATGAATGTGGTCATGTCGCAGGATGAGGAAATTCGAAGGGCAATGTCATCCTACATTGACGATGTTTATGTCAATGAAAATGTGGCCTCTTCAACGAGGGTTAAGGAACATCTGGAGCGCTTTGGCTTAGTGTGCAAGGCCCCAGAGCCGCTACAGGATGGAGCGAATGTACTTGGACTACACGTTAGTAGTGATGGAAAAAAACTTCGCTGGAGGCGAGGTAGTGACATCCCAGAAGTCCCGCCAGTGATCACTCATCAGAGTACCTTCTCCATGTGTGGGAAACTGGTAGGCCATTTTCCCGTATGCGGTTAGCTCAGAGTGGTGGCAGCAGCCATAAAGCGCCGCGTAACTTCTGTTTCGTCAGGATGGGATGATGAGGTGCACGATGTTACCCTAAGATGCATGATAACTGAAACTATGGAGACAGTGATGCAAGACGATCCCGTGCGAGGCGACTGGTGCCTTAAGGGGAACGAGCTCACCATTTGGGTGGATGCCAGCTCGTTGGCCATGGATGTCGCCCTTGAGGATAACGGATCCATCACAGAAGACGCCTGCTGGTTATGACCTGAAAATGATGCACGACACATAAACCTTTCTGAACTAGATGTCACTCTGAGGGGGATTAACCTGGCGCTCCAATGGCAAGCAACAGTGCTACACATTGTCACGGACTCAGCATGCACTCAGTGTTGGATATCAGATGCACTTAGCGGAAGAGCGCGACTGACCACCAAGGCATCGAGCGAGATGTTGATACGAAGGCGGCTCACCACGCTTATTGAAATTATCAAAGAGTACAACCTGTCTGTGGATGTAGTGTTAGTTAAATCGGCAGTCAACAGGGCAGATGCGTTGACTCATGTTCCGCAACGTTGGTTGGCTACTGCCCGGAAAGAGTCTGAATCTTTGCAGCTGCCGTGTACGGCTTCTGTGCTCAGTATGGACCTTGAGCGGATCATGAGCATACATGAACAGTGTGGGCATCCTGGGATTAAACGGACGCTCTACTTCTCGAAGATGGTCGACCCAGCAGTCAAAAAGACAAATGTTAGGACAGTAGTGCAGAGGTGCGAGGCGTGCCAGTCAATTGATCCGGCACCGGTGCAATGGCAAAAAGGAAATTTGAGTACTACCCATGTTTGGAACAGGCTGGGGATAGATGTTACGCATGTTGGCAGCCAGCACTATTTGACTATTATTGACTGTGGACCCTCTCGCTTTCTCATTTGGCGACTACTGCACCGGCAGGACACTGCCAGCATAATACGTCAATTGGAGGGCATCTTTTACGACCAGGGGGCCACCTGCAGAAATACTGACAGATAATGGTGCGGCGTTTTCTTCAGAGCAATTCTCGCAGTTCTTAAAGAAGTGGGGTGTGCGGCTTCAGTTCCGGTGCGCCTATATGGCGGCGGGAAACAGCATAGTAGAAAGGAGCCACCGGTCTATAAAAGTGATTTCAGCCAGGAAGCAAATGTTCGATCCCCGAAGCAGTCTATTGGTATAATGCGATGCCTAAAGAAGGTGTTTCGCCTACAACAGCACCGGCTAACATGGTGCACGCCTATCACTTACAGCTGCAAGGCATTGACATTGCAATGGCTCTGAGCGACACGCAAGCTAAATACAGAATTGGTGACGTAGTGTGGGTTAAGACCCCGCACAGCAAGTGTATGGACAAGCTTAGAATGGGGCATGTTACCGAGATTATCAGCCCGCAGTCAGTGTGAGTTGATGGCGTGCCTCGTCATGTTAAAGACTTATGGCCAGTTGTAGGGTTAAAACCGTCATCAGATGATGAAAGTGACTCTGAAGATGGTGCACGAGTGGTGTGTTTAAAGTCGGATCCACTGAGTTCTACCTCAAACATCAGTACTCTACCTGCGGACGTCAACGTGGCCAGCTGTCCAGAGGCGGATGGTAGCTCAACGGATGAGAGTTCATCAGAGGATGAGGACCCTGTCATCCCACTCAGAAGGAGTGCCCAGCAGAAGAGGCCTGCCCCGAGTTGCACGGTGTGCGAGCATGACAGCAAGACATGGCATGAATCTGGAAATCTGCCACCTCAGAGCAAACGAGTTCGCGCATGTGTGGTTATCCCAATATATCAAGTGTGCAAGTTGTATATATGCGGACGCAGTCACCAGACAGACGCGAACATCTCTCGAACTGAGAAGCTTTGTGATCTCAAGATCAGGGGGGCGTGTAATGAGTTCGTCGGTCAACTTAAAACCCCGAAAGCGAGTGGAGGTGGGCAGGCAGGGGAACTGTGATTGGTAGCTGGCTTGTTGGTGTTTTGCATAGGTGAGTTACCAAGCTCTATGTAAAGGGCTGGAATGAGAAGGAGGGCAGTTTTTTTTTTCAGTCTCAGAAGTGGAGACTGTGTCCGTCGCTACGACAGCAGAAGAGAAAGAGCCGAAATCATTTATTTTTTCGTGACACATTCCAACACACAGCTAAGGTAAATCGCAGTAAAACTGTGATTTGCAACTTTCTAAAGGACTGTGCGAATTATGGAAACGTAAAGTCTACTGGTAGGCCCCAAAAATTTTCTCCGGCATTGAGTAGGAGAATGACAGGTTGTTGTGATAGCCAGTGGACTTTCTTCTAGTCAAATTAAGGCAGCCACAGATGCTGATTGCAGTCCAGTAACCATCAGATGACACTTATGACAAAAAGGCATGGTAAATAAAAAGCACAAACAAATTCCTCGGCTGCTTCCACATCACAAAGT